ACAATCAACCATTTTGACTGAACCTGTTTAATTGTTGCACCACATTCCATTGCATCGAACTCCACCTACCAGCCGTTTCATGCACTCGACAATGATGATAAACTCTTGTGCATCACGAAATTCAACAATTCAATTGACCAGGAGAGCGAGCGCTTTCATCATACCAGCTATGGCCTCTTTTGACCTGCGTCGTCAAATCTCACATGTACCGAAGCCACGGGTCGGGATTTGGTGCCAAGAAATAGTCCCTCCTACAGTGAGAAAAACGGGTCCCCAAGTACAGGGTGTTCCATAAATACTGCAACACATTTTGAGCTTCAATTGTGTGGGTGTTCTGTAGTCTTTTTCCCAAGGTTGGCATACCTTCACTTCCTATAACCTCTTGTGAATAACCTTGCCAAAGTGCACGGCTTACCATTCGTTGTACATCTCAAAGTCAGGCTCGTGTTTGGGCATTATGGCGCCTGAAATTGAGTGTAGAGATGGGAAGGTGGAACGACAGTGAAGAAAAAACGAAAAGAAACCGTCGATAAGGCATATATGGGACTCCCTGTCCAACAGCAGGGAAGGAGGCGGGCATAGCTGGAAGCCAGGTACCAGACATAGCCGGGTTGGCTCGACAAGGGTGACCAGAACGCTGGAGTTTCTAAACACAGCCATGTAGAGAGTGGTCGGATAACAACTGCTCACAGTCCATTATAAGTTGCATAAGCACCACTGCTCAATCCAACGGGAGGAGCACAGCAGAGACAAAAAGTTCAAAGAGCTGGTGTCGAGGGCCGAAAATGGCGATTACGCGGGCACCGTTTTCATCGACGACAAAATTCCTCACATGGAGCGGAGCTACAATCTTCAAACTCCGAGGATGCCCGCATGAGGTCCTGAGGAAGCCAATGAGAGTGAAAGGAAATTCGCCACAAGCAGCCAATCTTATCACGATTTGGGCAAGGGTCTCAATCACCGGTCGCTCACCACAACTGTCTGTTGAAAAGCGAATGAAACTCGACACAGACCTAGCTAACGAATGCTCCAGTGTTCCTGAGATATCTAGCTTCTCCAGGGAGAAATGGTAGGCTTTTCAAATGTAACCAGCTTCTGCACACAAGGGGCAAAGGCAGTTGAAGAACTGGTCTCATGATACTGTTCCTGATTTCACATCCTCAAACGAATGGCTCTGGCGTACAAGGTGCTATCTCGCGTTTTCCCACTCTTCGTGTGTCTCTCCGTCATACTACGGCTGACCTCAAAAGGGAAATCACAGTGTTTTCTATGGATTTTGGATGTTCTCCCACACACGTTCTTGTTCTCTTTTCTTGTCTGATTTTCGAACAAAATAACACATCAATTGCATCCCGAGGGCGGAAGTGGTGTAGTGGCAAGTGGCACGCTTACCACGCGAGCGGTCCGGGGATCAAATCCTGGGTCGTGAGTCGCCCGGGCCAACCAAGCCTTCCATCCCTCCGGGGTCGGTTAATTGGTACCAGACTTGTCTGGGAGGATAAAAACACTGACTTGTACATCGGCTGGCCCCCGCAAGTCATTGTATAGGCCACATCGCATTCAAACGCCACTACGAATGTACAAATGGAAGTAGAATGCGTGCCGCATCCCAAAAAGGGATTGATCAACGGCAAATGCTTTATCCTTTCAATCCGCCCCGTGCCTTCAGATATAAGCAGCAAGGACAACAACAAATCGAGCGGTAGGGGTCAAGATTGTCTTTCACTGTAGAAGTTCAAAGTTTGTCGTATGCGCCACCTCCCATTGCGCCCCTTCGGTGCAGATTTTTCAACTATCAGAATTCATCAAATGAACTCCTGCGGGCCCTTGTAGGGATGGCGTACTGTCAGTTTCCCTCGCCTTTTACACGTCTCAATCGTCCCCTATCGAAAAGAATAGCCCAGTTAACGGTCCTGAATATAGCGCCATTTTAGTTAACCCATCCATCCACCGATGGGCCCAGTTTTGCGATGACGCATGCTCGCTCATTGAACAGTGTTTTTAACGCCTCACTTTCGTCCTCTCATCTTCGGATTGGTAAAAAGCGTTCCCGTTGTGAATTGCATTAATCACCATCCTCTACACGTATGACGTTGACCATTTCTTTAGTCGCTATTGAGGTGCGCCGCCCTTGTTACTGAACAGTTCCACGGCTGCACAATAATCTGGCTTGTTTTCAACTTTGTTCTTCGGGAGAACCATTTTTTTCCGGCTTCTACTATTCAATTGAAGCACTGAAATTTTTTCTACAATCATTCTCTCTTGAAACGTAGCTATCGTTAGATTTCGAACGAGTTTGAATCAACGTCTTGAATGCAAGATCATTCTCAACTTGAGCAGGTTCAGTTTTGCTCGAGCTGAGCTCCAATCCTTGAAATAATTGTCGACGACCCATGAGCTAACTCAGAATGCCGGGCTATTGGCGCCTTTCCAGAGGAGACTTTCAAGTTTCCATGCAACCTTGAAAGGAGGCGTGAAATGGGTAAAACGATACAGTCAAGAATGCTGATTACAAATGTGGAGACAAAAGCTACTACATGAACTTTTCAAGCATGCTGTGAGCGGTCTAAGTTGGCAGAAAATACAGCGTCAGTATACGAGGCAGGCTGACCTATCCGTATGAGAATTTTGAAATCATTCCGATTCTCCGCCTAGGGTCCGCCTAGGGACAAATAGTTGGCCTATCTCAGAATTAACATTCATCTTCTGATACAGAGGCCCATCCGTGGCCAGATTAGCGCAACAAATTACTTTTTTTGCTGCATTTTTTGCCAACTTTCAAAGCTCGCAGCTTGCTCGGAAAGTTTACGTAGCAGTTTTTACCATATTACCAATTTCCTAGCTCTCCATCCAAATTTTCGTGGGAATTGAAAGCCTTCTCTAGTTTTAAATCTCCTGCCCGATTGCAAATGGCACATTACTTGTTGTTAGGCATTGGTTATTCTGAAGTGACATGCCAGATCACCTGAAATATACCAAGCTAGTAAACAGATGCGTAGATGATAGAAGAGGCAATGTATGCAACCACCACGGCAGCAGGGTAATTGGCATCGACAATGTTAAACCCCGAGTGCTGGCACCGCCTCCTTTGGCAATCCCGCCCCTGCCCGCGTCCCTGGCGCCCCCACCCTTCCCGTTCCCTCTTCATCAAAATCTGAATCTTCGTTATGGCAGCGTGATCCTTCGTTCCCAGGCTGTCTCATTGCGACACCACTTTCGATTTTTCAAGGCATCTTCCATCATCATTCATCTTTCACAACATTTCCAAGGCATCTTCTGCCGTTCCTTTACCTCTGTGAGGAGTTTAAGTACTTTTAAGGAAGCAAAAAGGTTTTTGGAAATAGAATCTTCTTGAAAACGGCAATGGTTGAGGGTTGTGTGGCTTTGTCGATGCTTTCGATAGAAATGCCGCTATTACGTTCCCACAAACGGAGTAACTAGCAGAGTTTTGTAGAAGCCCGTGATAAATTTTGAGTTATCTACCTTCTGGAAGACGATTAGAAGAACGACCATCGGAATAAGATTCTGTGAACAGCGTCCCTAGGAAGTGACGTCCCAGATTGGCCAGTGTACGCTAGTGTATACCAGTATTCTTCTGAAAACATTGAAAATCTACATTTCATGAAAAATACATAGTAACGGCCCTGCACCTGCAGTACTTGATGCTATTACATTTTCATGTTTTATAACAATCTAGTGACAGTGTACGCCAACGATGACGACGGCAATGTTAGAGAGAACCTCGATCGATGGCGCCTTTGCTGTCTCTTCAACTCGTGGCTGGTTAATTTACCGAAGGATTGTTTGTTGAAGACTAAAGGCTTCTTCTTTTTGCCTATCTTTTATTGTTTTCCACTTTTGAGTAATTTTCTTCAAATCCAATTTACAGCTTTAATTTTTTCTCCTAGACTCGGTCAAGCTACCACATCGAATAACAAGTACATTCCTTGCTTTTGCCAAATTACAAAAGGTGATTCTTGTGCCAACTGCATCCGTGATCCTTGTGCCAACTGCATCCGCACAGCTAAATGGTCCGACTCAATTTGGAGATAAGTGCCTATAACATCAAATAGTTGTAGCCAAAAAACCCTTTGCTTATATGACGCATAAACAAGCTATAACGCTCATGAAGCCGATTCGCGTGGTAGAAGACTTTTGGCACTAAACTCCTAGAATGGCCTTCATACGCAGATGCAAGCTCCTGCTCACTGCCCTCAACGTCTTCAGAATATGAGGTCATCTACCATCGCAGTTGCTCTCGAGGAGCTCTTCTGTTATTGCTCCATCTGAAGTAGTTGCACGGCTTCTTCAACAAGTTAACTGACGCATAGGTCCTACACGAGGGTCACTGGCTTTCAAAACCCCTTCTAACCAGCGTTTCAAATAACGTCGTGATAGTACCTATGAGGGTCACGTCAAGCTGGAACCTTGTCCCATGTTACTGTGGCCAATCCCGCTGATTTCGTCAGGGTAAGAGGCTATTATGAAGTTTTCTGATGAACTGATATAAGCTCTTTAACTCTCAGTCAGGAGCTTTCGGTTTGAAGCTAGCGAAGAGCAATGAATGCCGTACTGAATATGAAAGTCTCTTTTTTGGCCATTCCTGTACAAGGCATCCAATCCTAAGCCAGAGCTTCAAGGCAGGATCAACCGTCCGCTGGACAAAGTCCAATGAGCAGGTCGTAATAGGCCGACGAAAAAGGGGGAGGGGTCGTATCGAGGCCCTCCAGAAGGGGGGGGGAGGGTCGTAAAATTTTTGAAATTTGTCCAACGTGACGGTTGACCCTGCTTCAAGGTTGCAGACACCACAAGCGATGCAGAACTCCATAAAAAGCACACCCGACCACATTCCACTCATCTTCTTCTACTCGCTGCCTAAACCTAATGCAGCCATCAAATTATGACCACGGCAGCTCCTATATTTCATTCCATTTCCATTTCAACTCCTGTAGTTTTTTTTTGCAGAAGCTTCTCTACAGAGTAAATTTCACCTTTCAGGAATGGGTCTGGCGATGGACATTGGTATTCTAATAATTCACATTTATTTTGCGATAATCCATGCTATTTTTGTGATAATCAATTGTTTCATCAAAAAACATTGTGTACCTGCACCTGCGGATGACATCGTAATGCTCAGCGCTACAGATGCTATGAAGAAAATCAGGAGAAAAGAGGTCAGTGACCTTACTGTACAGTCTATAAAACACAGCGAAGACCGCTGCGAATTCTATAAAGAAGTACTTAACTGCTAGAGATGATTAGTGTAAATTCCATTTGGTTGAAGTGGGAAAGATATGACAATTGAACAATCCGATCGAGTGCATTCGTATTGCAAAAGGTGTTGATATGTTTGATAAAAATATTAAGCTCACGGGGATTCAGCAAGCAGCAGCCGGAAAATAATAAAGGAAGCATCTGATTTATCCTTGCCCCTCCTTACTCCCCTCCCGTATCTACTTTAAGAACGTGCACTCCTCAGGCTAAGTACAGAATTACTCGTTCGTTGCGACAATTTCAAAATTTTCACGACCCTCTCCTCTCCCTCCCCCCCCACTTTTTGAAGAGGCCTAAACACGCTACTTCACCAACCCCTACTGTCACCTCATATTCCATCACGAACGTTCGGGGGAGAAGGTATCCCGCGCCCCAAGCGGCAACCACTCCACAATCACCATGGCTTTTACACTTGGATGATCAGCGACCCGAGGACACATTTCGATTGCCTATCTCTTACTTCGCCTAACAAAAAGTGCGCGCTACCGGGAAAAGAAGCGTAGGGGAAAGGGGCAAGAATTTTGCCAAAAAATGTCAAATACTCCACCTCTCCACCTATTCTCTATTGCAGCACGCCATTTCCCCCATACATGTTCCGGATGAAAAAATAAAATTCTAAGATTGTACCTGGTTCCAGTCTCGAGGCAATATTGTAACCATTCATGCCGAATGTGTAACTAGACAAGAGTCCTGATTTGAATATCTCCAACTGGACACTAATTATTTCCTATTACTATAACCGAAGATAATGGAGATTAAACGGATGACAACCCTTCACTTACCTTTTTAATCTTCTTTGTCTGAAGTTTCACCCCTCCTTCCGCCGATTAAGGTCCGCCAATCCGTTACAGGCGGACCACGAGCCCAGAACTTTTCCACTAAGCGTCCTGCCACTCGAAACAATTGTATCATCCTGAAGCGGTGGATTTACCAGGAAATTCGTTTGGGACGTGGAGTGCTTTCACAAATAGTTTTTTGCATGTTACATGGGTATGCGCGTGTAGCATCAAGGTGATGATCGTTTTTCCTGAGTGACGCTGGGATTGTCGGAAAGGGCAGGAACTTTTCTTGAGGAAGTGTAACCCTTCCCTTTTTAATGAAGGGAAGGGTTACACTTCCTCAAGAAAAGTAATACATATTAGCTCAAAAAAGCTAAAATCAAGGAAATGCAAAAATTCTTTAGTGGGAATCGAACCACAGGCCACTGTTTTTCAGAATTTGTGGAATTCCCAGAACCGCACAGAGAAAATGATCCTTAGTTTTATTTTTTATTTATTTATATAACTATTGTACAGGGATTGAAGAATAATTGGCTACAGAACGTTACATAATAATGGTTACAAGTTTTAGTTTAGTTTTATGCTCCTTGCTCATGTCTCTTCAACAAAATCGTTCTGAAAATGCGCTCTACGTTTTAAAGACTTTCCTGGTTAGATCTACCCCGCTTACAAGGGGTCTTTCAGGGCAAGCCGCGCTTTTTCAAAACGGTTTAGTGCATATTGTAGGGACGCATGTATGGACCACAAAACCATGTTTCGTTTTCGCTGAACGGTTTAGTAGTACCAAAAAAGTGGTGAATACTCTTGATGGTTCGATCCCCCGCGGCGACTAAATTTTGCAATCAAGGTTGGCGGTACTTTGGCTTCAAAATGGTCCTGACGATGAATGCGACATCTGATTCTGACATTAGCGCCATTTGATATCAACTTGCAGGCGCCAACCCAAATGCAAAATTTAGTCGCCACGGGGATCGAACCCGCAACAGTATCTTTCAACTTTTTTGGTACTACTAAAACCGTTCAGCGAAAAAAACATGGTTTTGTGGTCCATACATGCGTCCCTACAATATGCAATAAACCGTTTTGAAAAAGCGCGGCTTGCCCTGAAAGACCTCCTTGTTAGAGATGGAGCAAAAATGTCATTGTAATAATCAGCTTCCTTATGTTTCGTAACAGGGACTAGAGTTTTAGACAGCGCGGATTCTTGAAAACATGGAAACATGTCTGAAAAACGAATTTTCCTGGTATTCAAAATCAAGGATCTCCCAGCAGTGCGCTCATATCCAATCTTAAATATGCCTTGGGGGTAACGAGCGTCACAGATCGCCATGGCAGCTTGAAATTGGGCTACATAAAGGACGTATCGTCGTGGTTCACCTCGAGCAAAACCAGTCGGGGAAGACTCAAAGGCAAAGGTCGGGCTCAGACACGCTAGAGAAGCGTAACTGCACACACTGCAGCAAGTTCCTACCTTGAAAAACCCCGTTAAGGCCCCGGGACGTTCGGTTTCAATCCAGG